CTGGTTATTACCCGTCCCCTTGTGTGTTATGAAGGTTTTTCTGCATGTAAACGGTCTGCAGAGTCACAAACCCTCAAAGTACACCCTGTAGCGATTAGAACTCTAACGCAGAAAATACTTGTCTATGCTGCCCCAGAACACCTCGTTTGAGATTTCTCTTTTTCCATTGTTTACTTCTTGGGTATAGTGACGTATTACATTTAGACACACACACACACACACACACACACACACACACACACACACACACACACACACACACACACACACACACACACACACACACACACACACACACACACACAGTTTCATATAAACAGGTACCATTGTATCGGCTATGTACAGGCAGTATAAAACCTGTGATGTGTTGTTTCCACACAGACTGCGTTGCTACAGCCAGCTCTCCACAGATCATCTTTGCTGTCTGATTTAATGAGAACTCTATGACTTATGGTGGGCAAAGGTCAGCACGCCAAATCTCTGGATATTCTATGATTGAGACGTAAAGCTTTCTGTTTATTTAACCTATTAAAGATGTTAATATAGAATAATTTCCTTATTAGTTTGGCTTGTCGGATCACAAATGATATGGCACCCATTACTTTAGAGCTTTTAAATATTTGAAATAAATAAAACGATTGTGAAAAAAAACATTTGCTCATATTGTGGTTGCTTAGCAACAGAGTTCATTCACAACCTCAAAATGAAAGCATGGCTGTTAAATCTGAAAAGATGTGCTTACATATACTACATAACTACATTATGGGGCAGGGTATTTCTCAAAAAAGGTATATACATTATGTTATTGCTTTTAGGAGTCAATAACACAACGTTTTATTTCTTGCTATTTCTAATATTTTTCTCAAGATATTTTCCCATACATACCGCATAGAATGAAGTAAGGCAGAATCATGTAAATCATTTATTTTATTTTGTAATACCGTGATAAAGTACTGCGCAAAAAACACAACAAAAAAATGAATGTGAATCTAAATTTCAGTCATATACCCAACCCCTAGCGATAATGCACTCACCTTCTCGTAGAGGTACATGGACTCTCCGGCCCGAGCGTCCATCTGTATGCTTCCCCAGAACCACTAACACAGAAGGGAGAAAAAAAAAAAAAAAACTCTGGTTTTATAAGGACCAAAACTTCCTTTGAAGTCAATAAAACTAGCAAGGGGGATATAACTTCACCCAATCCACCATGCTACCATGGCTCATATTATTTACTGAAATAGGGAAATACATTAAAACGATCATTTAGAACTCAAGACAATACCCTGTTTTGTCAAAATGGTGCTAAAGTAGTATCAGAGGTGTTAAACTTCTCTTAAACAAAAAACCCTACCTCCTGTTTGACCACAAAGAGTTTACTGGAGGGAGGAAATGGCAGCTCCTTTACTGAGTTTTCCTCCACCACCATGTGTGTACAGCGCTCGTCTCCAACCTCAAGATAAGTGCCACCTTGGAGACAGAGAAAAGGGATATGATGATGAAAATAAGTGTTCATGTGCAAAATACAATTGTACAATACAAGTGTTTGCATTGTATGAAACAATGTGTATATTCACTGCTGCACAGGTTTAATGACACTGACCATGTTTGAGAGTCCTCTCCTCCATGTTGGCCTTATCTTCATCTAAGAAACCCAGGAAACTGAGGATGCAGTCCTGGAAGGGAGGCACTTTGAACTCTGTTCGAAACTCCTCTTCTCCTGCATGGAAGAGCCTGAACACAAGAAGGGTGTTCACATGAAGGTTACAATTAATAACATGTCATCATTTCTGAAAATGTGGTTTTAGATTAGGTACATTAAACATAATTGATTCTACATTGTGGAATACATCAGGATTTGTTCACCCCCTAAAGCTCCTGAAAGACTTGCATACACATACTGTACATGATGATGAGACAGCAGAATGACTGTTGAGGCTTCTCAGATTTCCAAGAGCACTGCTTTTTCTGCATTTAAGATTAATTTTTAACGCCAATAATGAAGCTCTTTAAACTGTAAGGTTTAATTAATATATAAGTTTATTTAATAGTACCACGATCAACTACTGCTTAAAAATTGTCTTTTTTTCCTCCAACAGTCCGATTTTTGGGCATGAGCAAGCGTATATGCACACAGCACAACACATGCCATTAAAGTGTTTAGGAGTTGTTAGCCGTTAACCAGTAATTACCGGACTTTGAACGGTAAAATATGCTGAAGACAGGCAAATCTAAATCTCTTCGGTCCAAATAATTTCCCCTTAGCACAACACAGCATCAGTTGCGCCACTTATGTAACGGACAAGAATAGTATGTGACAGACAAGAATAGTCCATTTTAATGTCTAACATTTAATGTGGAGAAAGAGTATAGGTTGATTGTGAGTTGATCTGTTGGTAATGCCTCGGGGTTCCGGTGGGCATGTAAACAAATTCATAATGCTGCGCTATACTTTGCGGCCTCACCCGGTTGCATAGTGACGCTTATTGTTTAGGTGTCTTGATAAGCAGTTATGATATGGACATAAATGCGAGTGAAGTCTAATCTGACGGGAGAGCGAGAGATCAGGATCAGCTGCTGCTGACGGAAACACGCAGCTCTAGCGGATCACCTGCAGCAGTGAGCGGAGCAAAACACACACTTCAGGTTAGAAAACTACACTTAGCTATTTTAAAAACCTCTCAAACTACCTAAACTAATTATAGATATGTTTATTTTTACTGTCGGGTCACTCATTACTGGATCCACGAGCTGCATGATACTGACGGGCTGTCAGGAGAGGGAGAGAGGGGCTCCGTTTATTATTCCCTAGTTATTATAAGTTACTTTACACTTTTGAATAATGTAGTTAATCTACTATAATTAGTTTATTAAATATCGAGTCGTTATCAATTTGTTTTAAAGCTCAATAAATAACAAAGAACACCTTTGACCGGCACTTAATAATTCGGTCCGGAAGATTTCAACTTTAACGGACATGTTGACCGGCAAAAAAAGTCTAACGGAAACTCTGGTTAGCTGTTCTCATAAATATCAATCATCATTCATAATATTCAACCCCCATTTCTCAAATGTATGTGGGACTTGGCTTCATCACTCAGCACACCTAATTTCAGGGATGCAAACACACGTATGGTTAAAAAAGAGAGAACTATTCGAAGCAGAAAAAAAACAGCGTAATATACCATCTGGCAAAGGCCTGT